GATGCAGGTACAATTACAATATTTAAAAGACATTTGGATAGATACATGAATAGGAAAGGTTGGGAGCGATATAGGCCAGGAGCAGACAGGTGGGGCTACTTTAGTTTGGGATAATGTTCGGCATGGTCTGGTTGGACCAAATGGTCTGTTTTCGTGCTGTATGATTCTAACACTCCTGATTACCACATCAAAACATTTGATTAAATTTGTTAAACATGACTTTCCCTTAACAAAGTCATGCTGACCTGATTAATCAGTGTCACTCCAAAGGTTCACATGTGATCTGTCCCTTAGAATTCTTTCTAATAACTTCACCACCAGGGTTAGAATGGTTGGACTGTGATTTCCTGGTCTATCCCTTCCTTCCATTTTTAATAACGGAACAATGTTAACAATCCTCCAGTGCTCTTGCATCTGATCTGTGGTGAGAGAGAATTTGAAAATCACTGCCAGAGTCACTGATATCTCCTCCTTTGTCTCCCTCAACTGCCTGGCATACATCTCCTCCGGACATTCAATTTTATCCACTATTAAGGCTGCTAAACTTGTTACAAACTCCTCTCTCTCTCTATGTTAAGTATTTTCTAATATTTTACAGTCATCTATCTTGATGTCTATTGCTATGTCATCCTTTTCCATTGTGAAGACCTAAGCAAAGTAGTCATTAAGGTCTGTACCCACATCTTCAGGTTCTGCACACAGACTACCTCAAGATCCTAATAGGCCCTACTCATTCCTGAGTTATTTTTATGCTCTTAAAATGTTAAAAAATTCATTTGTGTTTTACTTTATTCTACCCACCAACATTTTCTCATGCACTCTCTCAAACTCTCCTAATTTCCTATTGAAGATCCTCCCTGCACTCTTTATACTTCTCTAGGGACTCTACTGTATAAGATCCTTGGTATCTGCCACAAGTTTCCCTTTATTTCTTAAATCTAACCTTTATGAACTTTGACATCCAGGGTTCTCCGGGCTTTGCCCTGTACTCTTACTATTTCCTCCTTGAATACTCCCACTGCTCTGAGAAATTTTTATCTGCAAGTAGTCTACTTGGGTCAAATGGTATTTTAGGGAAATTAGCCTCTCCCATGATCAGAATTTTTATTCTAAGCCCACCTGCATCCTTTACATAACTGTCCTAAATTTAACTGAGTTATGATCACTATCTCCAAAATGCACCCTTACTGATATGCCTTCCACCTACACAGGCTGATTTCCAAAATTAGGTTCAGAACAACTTGTTGTGCTTTCTACGTACAGCTTAAAATCTTCTGCTCAATGAAATTTAAGAATTTTGCTCCCATCCTACCTCGCACACTAAAACTAGCCCAGTTAGGGGATAGAGATAGTAGGAACTGCAGATGCTGGAGAATCTGAGATTACAAGGTGTAGAGCTGGATGAACACAGCAGGCCAAGCAGCATCAGAGGAGCAGGAAGGCTGACGTTTCGGGCCTAGACCCTTCTTCAGAAAGGGTCTAGGC